CCCCCTCCTCCCCCCTTCGCCTTCGCCCTATGTTGTGACAAAAAATTACTGTGATGGCATCTGAAATTTGTGGTAGCAGAACACAATTTTCGCCCTATGGAGATTTTTATAGTTAGGGCCACGAGGTGACTTAAAAATTCCACCACGGAACACTTACGAAGTTCCAAAATAAATATGTTTGAGTTTAACTTTAAGGTACAAGCACAAACCAAAACAACAACAAAACATTCTGTCAGAGTATTGGCTTTGACGCCCTCTTTCAAATACCGCCTTGCGAATGTCAAATGAACTGCAGCCGAATTACCCAGAAATCCAGTTGCGTAATATGGCGGACTTATACCGCGAACTCTAAATCGCCACAATTTAAATCGTACAGTCTCAAACCAGAACTATTGCTATACCACACAGCACAACTTACACCCAGCTGACGTTTGTATAAGACTTTCTGTTCATTTTTTTAGAATTTGTCCGCACTATTTTTCTCACCCGAGTCATAGACACAGGGTTTGACCATTGATTCTGTATATTGCTACCTTAAAAGGCATTGGGCTTAGATTTAATTTATTTTTAAGACAAAAGTAGACAAGATATGAAATTTGTTTAAATTCTATACCAAAAATGGTTATGAAATTTCGACAACTTTGCGGTTTTCTCCAGTGATTATAAGAAGCGTAATACCTGACTGAAAAATTTGATCCAAAATCTTCTAGTTGTAGAATCTTTCTTGTACGCAATAGAGCTTTTAAAAGATCGAAAATCAGCTGCTTTCATGTTTTAAGGTTTCAACCTTCTACCAATAAGTAAAGTTAAACAGATATTGATAGCTAAGAGAAAAAAATGTATCCCCCAATCCCCCGTAAATCCAAATTGGTGCACTGCAGTTGGTAAATTTCTCGGCAGATGGCGCTTTAAAACATCCATTCCTGCACCTCACGTCATACGTGACGTTAGATTCAGACAATCAACACGCCCGTATAAGTAAGACTAATCAGGCATCATTTTTTACCACATTTTGCTTCGTCACAGCCACACAGAGAGGCAGAACTGCGACAAGAAGACTGAAGGCTTCCCTTTATGCCTTTTAGCCCAGAAAGAAAGCACCAACTGAAGATTTTCTGACTAACTTGGAAGGTAAGTTTCGATAATTCTTATAAGGTAAGTCAAATCATCTCATGTTTATCATAATTTAATGAAGTATAGGTATCGAAGCAGAACAATATTGTATCCAGAACCGTGCAAATTCACTTCTATACCTAAATGCATAAGGGTTCATGCCCGTAGCCAGGATTTTGAATGGGGGGGGGGTCTTCCCACTGCTTGAGGGGACCTCGAGCGCCGTAGGGGTAGTGGGGTCCGGGGGCATGCTCCCTCTGGAAAATTTTGAAAAATGAACCATCTAAAATGGCATTTCGTGCATTTTTGAGAGGATTTTTGAGATAAATTTTTATTCAATGAAAAAGGGAGCAGTTTTTCTACGATTCCAGTCCATCTTTTCAAGTTATGCCGCGAAAGGGACGATACTGCCGCAAAGGGCGTTTTTGTTTGAGCGGGAAACCTTCTCTCCATATGGCAAAAACTCCCTCGGCGGCAAAATCGTCCCTCCGTGGCAAAACTCGCGTCACTCACCGAAAAAATAATTCCGCCATACAACAAGTCTGCGAAGGAGGCTACGTTAGGGTAGTGAATCCGAAATGCACTGCATCATGTATGCAGCTAGTACAAGTTGTGTAATAAAATTCATTTTTGAAACATTACCAACACTAGAATTTTCAACGTTTTAGTTCCTTTGGTGTAAATTTTCTGCTTGCTTCCACTTTACAATTACATTCAGTTTTTTTTTTTCATTTTCAGGACATTTATTATGGGTTCACCATATTGCTTTTTCTGGTGTTTCTTCTTCTTCTTCTCCTCCTCCTCCTTCTCCTCCTGCCATTTTTTAAATGGATTCAGCTTCTTCATTTTAGGGCCCAAGGTCCTGAAATTTGGTATGGAGGTACAGTGGGCAAATACCCTTAGGCGTTTTTTAAATTTTTGTGATACAGGCTTTTAGAATGGTTTTATTTGAGTTTTTTGGCTGTATTATAGCAAATGTATTACTGTGTCAGTGGGCAGTGTTAACCACATTTGGCATGAGTCATCACAATGGAATGCAGGGCATCAACCAATAGGCATGCAGCTTTCCTCTCTTCTTCTTGCTGATTGGCTGTTGGGATTTAACTTGATTAACACCTGCACAGACCATTTCCACCTGCACAGAGCATTTCTTGCTGATTGGCTGTTGGGATTTAACTTGATTAACACCTGCACAGACCATTTCCATACTGACAGTATGTCTGTATTCAAGTGTTTTGGTAGGTATTTCAAGCTTTCCTGCTCCAGCATTGGAATGCGGGGCATGAACGTTTTTTTTAAAATCAACAGTTTGCATTATGCAAATTAAAAAATCCTAACCAATAATGTAGGGAATAGCTAGCCAACTGTTGTAGTCTTAGTTGTATGTTACTTCATATTATAGTTATATCAATGTAAATCATTGTTTTCCCTTGTGTTTCTCATTCTTTCCCTGCCATGACGTCGTAAAATGTGGTGAACCCATCGCTGTATTTGCTCCAAAGCAAATATTGGCCTTTCTAGTTTGAAAAGTTTCTGCAAAACCTGAGAAAACCAAGAAATAAATGAAAATATCGTGGCCTAATCTTCTGATCCCTGTATCTAAAATGCCCGAACGACGCCATGAAAATTTCTGTAAAAAGCAGGCAAAACAAGTAAACAACCTGCATATTAATATTCAGATAGCCAACTTCAAACAACAAGCTTTAGACAATCAGCAAGGCTCTTGTAAACAACTTTTAAGGCTTATGCTAACACAGATCTCTGGTTACAGCCTTTAACTAAAAAAAAAAACGTTTAAAAACTCGTTCCATGTACATTTGCATGTAAAAGGCACGTTTCTTCTGGATACACGTGGACTATCAAGAACCGATCCTGACCATGGATCCGGATAAAACACGGTTCTGGATACATTAAGGCAGTAGTTGAGAGTTGTTTACATTTAAACACTTTGTTAATTAACATATGCTTAGCCCTGTGAGACAAAATGTACAATAAAGGTCTTCATTAAACTGATATAGTATATTGGCCGTACGTTTACGTAGCGTACTTACACAACAGGGCAGATAAAATGCACACGAATTCATTCTGTGTAGTAAATATGTATCAGTATCGGTACGCCGCCCTTTGGCGTAACACACCAGCTTCTCAGGCACGTGGCGTGGCTGTTCTAAAGACTGCCGAATATATTTCATCAGGTAGGCAGTCAGCATAAGTTGGGTGATGCAATTTATTGTTTGAAACACCACCCAGCGTATTGGCTCCTGTATTTGAGATTAGCTGTCTGCTTCTCCTTTCAATTACTTCTTTTTCACTCGCCCCGTTATTTCTCTCGCCCCTTTATTTCTATGCTGCAAAATAGAAATCAAGATTATGAATAGCAAAGTTCTTTGATCACAACCATTTATCTTTCACGAGCCGACATTTCGATGACCATCTGTAATCTTCATGAGGGCAATTCTGACTGGTTAACTGTGCACTGACGCTAGATGTTACTTGGTGCATAGTGGACTATGCATCATAGTGCACAGTGCATAGTAAACCAGTAGAATTGCCCTGATGAAGATGACAGATGGTCATCAAAACGTCGGCTCGTGAAAAATAAATGGTTGTGATCAAAGAGCTTACTTACCATCAAGGAGTGGAATGAACTTGAGCCCAGTGTGGCGGAGGCGAAGTCCATCTCCCAGTTCAAAGCAGAGCTGGGACGGGCTTCGCTGCATTGAGCTGCCTCCCGGTCCTTGTACATATGTAAATACGTGTAACACTAGCACCACTGATTTCACTTGTCCTGTCCTTGCACTTGTCCACGTCCACCCCTACCTTACCCTTTGTTTGCACTTTGCACACAGTACTAATGCGCAGCTGCTAGTAATCTTCTTTTTAGAAGGCTAAGCAGTACTGAAGATGATGAAAGAGCTTTGCTATTCATAATCTTGATTTCTATTTTGCAGCATAGAAATAACGGGGTGAGAGAAATAACGGGGCGAGTGAAAAAGAAGTAATTGAAAGGAGAAGCAGACAGCTAATCTCAAATACAGGAGCAAATACGCTG